TCTCTCTCTCTCTCTCTCTCTATCGTTTCCCCCGCGGCGTTCCGAGGTGTCGGCCTCGCGTGGATACCGCTGCCGAGCCCCGTACCCGTCTAATTGCTCGATAAACTGCGAATCTCGCAGCCTCCGCGCGGACCTCGCGTTTTCTTCCCCAGATTTCTCGCAGATCTCGCGTCGAATCTCGAGAACGCTCGAGAAACGCGGAACGGAGGCGATTCGAACAAACGCGCACAGAAATCCGATGCACTCGGTACACTCGGACGAACTCGCGCGAGATCGAGAGAGAAAATGAGAGAGAGAGAGACAGAGAGGCCATCGGTAGGGAGGCCATTTACAGGGGAAATTCGCGATCGATATCCGATGAACGGCGTGGCGCGCGAGCATCGCGTCTTATACGGAGACCCGTCATCGGGTTTTTACGACGGCGTTACGCCGCCATAAATCGCGGCCTATGATGGGCTACATGTGTCGACGGCACGCCACGATTTCTTGCGAAAACGTGAGCCGCGAGCCAATGGGCCCGTCGTCCCCATCGGTCCGCCGTGATTTTTACATCTTGTTTGCTTCAACGCTCGCGTCCGGTACGAGTTCCCGCGGCAGTCCGCGGCCTATATGGCGATCGCATTTTCGCACCCCTCTCCGCCCCCTCCCCAGAGTCGTCCGCCACCGTACGCAGCACTTTTGCATTCAAGCAACGCGAGCTGGTCGATGCAGTTTTTCGAGGATCGACGTTTCCTCTTCTCTCCTCTCCTCTCGACCAACTCTCGACGCGTTCTTTGCCTCTTCTTCTTTCTCTCTACCTCTCTATCTCTCTGTCTCTCTGTCTCTCTGTCTCGATCGTCGTCTAGCTTCCTCCACCTCCAAGGATCTCCGCGGCGGTAACAATAATTTCCGGGCGATTTTATCTTTCTGGAATTCTTTCCAGCACGGTCGCGGGGCAACAGTCGTAAAGCGGAGAGCGTCGCGATGTCACTCGGCTTGATCTCCACGTTGACGCCTTTTTTAGTCCCGCAGACTAAAAATCTCTCGGTCTCTCGGAACTCCCTTGTTCTGCGCCCGTTTTTTTTTCTTTCGTTTTTTCTTTTCTTTTCTTTGTAAAATTGCGATCGCCACAAACAGACAAACAGACACGTCACCGATGTTCCTCTACCGGTGGACCCGAACAGGTCCCCGAAAACGATCGAGCCAGAACTTTCCAGCGATGCGATCGGCTGTTTGCTCTACGGCAACGAGCCGTGCCTCCACCTCGTTCATGCTATTTGCACGGACCGATAAAGCGAACGTCAAACCGTTTATTGTTCGACGAACGACGTGGTCGCACGCTACTCGTCCACGAGAACAAACAACGTCCCCAGGGATTATCCCGCGGTCGTGTACTTTCCTCTTCGCTTCACCGCGTTGTTCCCTCTCGTCCTCTTCTCGTCGTATCTCGTCCCATTCGTTCGCTCGATAACGATTTTTCGCCTCGAGAATCCATTTTTTGTCACGACTCGAAAAGGGCTCGTCCTCTTATCGCCTTCACAGCCAGTGTCGGCTGTTTGACGATCGTAAAATCGTGAGCGAAAACAATGAACGTTTCGAGTATCGGAGATGATTTCATCATTGACGACGTGAGAACATGCTGGTGCGTTTTTCGCGAGAAAAACTCCCACCAGCCGTGTAATCCTTTTGGTTATGGTAGTCGGAGATGATGAGGAATAATATCCCGGAACAGATGAAATTTTCGGGGGTACGCTCGGAAGATTCGGCGCAGTAACGCGCTGGAACGGCGTAAATCTTGTATTCTCTTATGCCATCGGCTGTTCGTCGTGACGTTTGCTCCGAGGATTTGCTGGAAGGGACCGTCGATCGTCGTTCTCGCCTCCGATCCTCGCTTCGGAGTCGAGGATTAGGAAAAATCATTCCTTTCTCGTCGTCTCTCTCTTTCTCGCTCGCAGGTCAACGTGTACGTGTACGGTGCCCGCGTGGCAGCCATGCGCTGTCGGAAAACACTCGTGACGAATTCGGATCTGGCTCTGAAATTTGACGCGCTCGATTACGTCTTCAATACCGGTTTCTTCTCCTCCACTCCCCCCGAGACAGTCAGACGTCTCACTTTTGTTCCTCTTTGTGAGAGGATCCTCCTTCGACCTGCTCGTTCCTTCCTCACTCTGCCTCGGCTACACGTGTCAACACGTTCGTCGAGAGGAGCATCGCACGATAATCCCAGCGTCATCGGTCCGCGATCTTACGGAGGTGGCGATTGGCGAAACGGAGCTCCGCAATGCTCCCTCGGATGGTCGGCTGGCCGCAAAAGGTGCCGGCTGGCAGGCACCTGCGCCTTATGCAGATAACGTCGAGGTGCCTCTCGGGTCAGCCCACTCGGGGTTAAGGTCGCGTTCCCTTTCTCTCTCTTCTTTCCTCCTCTCGTCCGTTCTTGCTTCAGCTTGCTCCGACTCCCTGTCTCCCTGTCTCTCGCTGGTAGATCGTGGCGATCGTTCTTCTCCCTCGGTCACATCGTCGTCGTCGTCGTCGTCGTGGGTTCCTTTTTCGCACACCTGTGCTCAATGGATCTCTCTCTCTCTCTTTCTCTTTCTCTCACGCGAGCAGGTAGCCCACGCGAACGACCAAGGATTGAGACGTTCCCTGCTGACATCACCGCTCGCCTCCCACGTTCTCGACCACCGTCGTATCGCAAAAATATCATCCGCGTAACTTCCTCCAAAGATATGCTTCCGGCCCGATCAGTGCGGGACACAACGGATCAACGAAACGAAACGAATGGGAGGAACGATTCCCGCAGTTTAACAGTGTCACATGGTTGCAGGTTGTCGAGAGACCGCCTTCATCTACGCCATCACGAGCGCGTCCGTGACTCACAGCATCGCAAGAGCGTGCAGCGAGGGCAGCATCCAATCGTGCTCCTGCGATTACACGCATCAATCGCGAGCACCGTCCACCACGCGTGACTGGGAATGGGGTGGATGCTCGGACAATATCGGCTACGGGTTCAAATTCTCCCGCGAATTCGTCGACACCGGGGAGCGTGGACGAAACCTGCGCGAGAAGATGAATCTGCACAACAACGAGGCCGGCAGAGCGGTAAGTTTCTCTCTCGTCTTTTTTAGGGACGAACGCGAGAGTTGGAGGGAAATATTTCACTCGTCGCTCTCGACTTGGCAAGAAGTTTGGAAACTATATTCACTTCTTCTCTTCGCGATTACATGAATTGCTCTGATATCTAAACTTTGGAGTAACAGCGTGCTTGAATTTTTGAAGAAAATTAACAGTCCATGTTACGAAAATTTATGCCTCTTCGCATTTAGTAGTTAGTACGGTGACTCTAATCCCGTTGCAAGAACAAAACTACATTGGCTTCCTTCAAAATTTTTAACCAATTTTTAATTTACGAAATCTCGAAAGATATTGTTCAGAAAATTCATCCCGCATTATCTCGTTTTAGAGAATAATTTTTCCTCGAGCTGTTAGCAAATTAAAGTAAAATTAGTGAAAGAAACTAAAATTGAAATTTCGTCGGTCGCAGCACGTGTCCTCGGAGATGCGACAGGAGTGCAAGTGCCACGGTATGTCCGGCTCCTGCACCGTCAAGACTTGCTGGATGAGGCTGCCGAACTTCCGCGTGGTCGGCGATAACCTGAAGGACCGATTCGACGGCGCGTCGCGAGTCATGGTGAGCAACTCGGACCGGGTGCGTGGCAACGGGAACGCGATCGTGAGCAACTCGGCGAGCAACTCGGTGCACGGCCACCGGGAGGGTCTGGGTCGTCGACACCGATACAACTTCCAGTTGAAGCCGTACAACCCGGAGCACAAGCCGCCCGGCCCGAAAGACCTCGTTTACCTGGAGCCGTCGCCGCCGTTCTGCGAGAAGAATCCGAAACTCGGCATTCTCGGGACACACGGCAGACAGTGTAACGACACGAGCATCGGTGTCGACGGCTGCGACCTGATGTGCTGCGGCAGAGGCTATAAAACGCAAGAGGTGACGGTGGTCGAGAGATGCGCCTGCACGTTCCACTGGTGTTGCGAGGTCAAGTGTCAGCTCTGCAGAATCAAGAAGACGGTACACACGTGCCTCTAGGTCTTCACCAGAGACTTTGTGTTCTTCTCGTCCCTCCATCCCTGGCACCTTTATCTCTCGAAGAGACTACCTTCCTTCCTGGCGAAGGACGTTTTCGTAGTCTCTCTTGACTACGTCGTCGGGACAAGGCGGTCCAGGTGATTCTACCACGAAGAACTGCAGTGCGTACAGGTTTCACGTGTACACAGGTTAAGACCGAGTTGCCGCCACCGTGACGGAGCTTCCCGAGTTTGACCGAGCTACTCCTTGTCTCCCAGTATTACGCGAAACGATCGAGAGACCGTGTATTTGTTACGACGTTCCACGGACGCGTACTAAAGACTGAGACGGTGAGAGGAATCGTTATCGGATCGCGATAGTAAGGTTAGAACAGTTAGACGTAATAACTGGCGAATCGCCGTCGCACACTGTACATATGACATATCCCTTTTGTTTCCGATCTCGCTTCGAAATCGCGTCGTCTTCTCCCTTCCTTGGGAAGAATATATATTTATATATATAATAACCGCGCGACTGCGAGACTCGTTAGATTCGTTATTTATTCCGACCCCTCGGATCGCGTATTTGTATATATTCGTAGATCGTAGGTACACGTAAATTCGCAGATTTATAAATGTAAATGTATAAATATAAATATATATTTTTGAAGACCGCGTTGTAAATAATCGACGCTGTGGAAACGAAGCGAACGCACCGCAAGGTACGAGTAAATTATTTTTATACGTCACACTCTCTCTTAGATCCTTGCCGCTCGATTCGCGCGACTCTGTCCCGTAGGATTAGAGAAACCATTAGCCCCGTGTTGAACGTTTCGACCTCCATCCCCGAGCGATAGAACGGTGATTTACGATACTTGTAACGCATAATAGACTTTTCTCTTTTCTTATTTTTTTTTCCTTTTTTTACATTTTGTAATTTATAAAAAATGGACGTATAAGAAGAGAAAATAAAGATGACTACGAAAGAGTGGAAGGATTCGTCGGCGCGTTGTTTTTACCTCACACGACCTTCAAGACTTGCGCCGAATTCGGCGACGGAGTCTCCCCGTGCGATTACCTATCTCCACCGTTTTTTCGACGCTCGGTGTTGCGCGAGCGGATTATCCTCGCGACGAGATACAGCCGACTGGTTCTCCGGCTGGACGACTTCATAACTCCTCACCGGACGAATATCGTGGGAGGCCTCCGTGCCTCCGAGAGGACTGGTTCGACTCTCCGTCGACCGCTTCCCCTCGTCTTTCTTGCACGACCGTTCTCTGTTCCTTCTCCCTGCGTCTCCGCTGGCTTGTTTCGCTTCTCCTCGGTCGCGCGTTGCACGCGATGATAACGAACGAAGGAATCCCGCAGGAATCTCTGTACCGGGATAAAAGGATTCTGACCGCGTACGAACAGGCATCCGCGCTAATGGTTCCGACACTCCCGCCTCCTCCCTGTCCCCCTTCGCTCCCGGTGTCCCTTTCTCTCCGCGACCCGCAGCCAGCCTCCACCGTCGACTCCGCTGCTCCCGTCCTCCCGTTTCTTTCCTAACGATCGGCATTTCCACTTGTAAGCGCATTCCGAGAGACTCTGCGCGTCGATCGAGCACGATCGCGAGAGATCCGGTGAACATTTCGTCGGTCGGTTCTCGATCGGCCGATCGATTCGCGCAGAGACCACGGCGACGCGACTGTTCTGTTCTCGCGAGTCGGAGCGGGTCGCGAGAACGCGCGATGGAATTAGGTGGCACCAGGAAGGATAGGTTGGCCGCGATGCTAAAACAAATTCTTGCCGCGCGCGCGCGAGCAGCTCCCAGCGTCCCGGCAGACAAGAATCTCGAGCAGCCGGGCCACTTCTCACGGCGGCGCCTTTGATCTCGACCGACCACCCCCTCGTCTCCATCACGGTCACTCGAGCAACGGCAGCGCGACCGCCTCCCTCGCTCGACCGGCCTTTTTACCCGCTGCTGTGCTGCGCTCTGCCCCTCGTAGCTGGCGGAGAACACCGCTCCGCGCAGTCCGAAAAACGGCACCGGAGATGCACCGGACGCGAAGGCGGATTCATTCGGTTTTACTATTATTACGCATGCCGTCACGCGTGCGGCTCGTTCCGCGCTCCGGAATCTTCCAGGGATCCCGCTCAACTAAATCTCCCGGGGATCTCTGCCCTGCAGATTCTGTCCATCTCACCGCCGCGCGTCGATTTCGCTCCCGCGAGATTTTTTTGCGCGCGTCACGCGTTACGTTGCGATCTTGCGATCGAGAGAGTGCGCTCGAACTGCGAAAGAGCGACAGGGGAAAGAGGAAGCCGCGAGGAACGGCGGTGTATACCGTTTAACGCGCGAGTTCAAGGTCCCGGGGAACGAGTCGGCGCGCGTTTCGAAAAAAACACGCCGAACACTGGGTAAAAGTGGCCCACGACGGACGAAACGTTCTCTCACGGTCTCGCGAGAGGATTCATCTTCTTCGAGCCGGGGCTCATTATGCTCGGCGAATACGAAATTCAGTCCACGAGGTTGACAATCGGGGGCCCCCGAGAGACAGGGCCCTCTCGCGCGTCACACCGTGGCAACAGCGTCCCATCAGGGATGCCACGCGCGTACGATCGGCCACGACGCGCCGCGTGCCGTTTCGCCCACCTTCCCGCGTCCGATTTTATCGAGTTCCGTCCAATTTCTCGTAACACTTACAACTTTCCTCTCTTCTCCCCTACCGTTGTTCTACGCGCAAGTCCTGACGGACTTTCGTTAACAAAATTAATGAAACGAGAAGTGATCGGTAATTTCGTGGGATGGAAGGGAAGAAACAAACAGAACCGATCCGAGCAAAAAAAAAAGGAACCCGGCAAAGAGGTTTAAAGTAAACGGTTACGCGGAC